GGGGTAATCGGGATGGGTGTGTCAGAGGCGGCGCGGTTGGCGCAGGATAGAGCAGGGTTTAGAGCTGTTGTGCATAGGGTCGCTATGAGTCAGAAACGACTCAATGGCACATAACAACAACAACAACAACAACATAGTTTCTGAAGTCATATTTGTCATGAACAATTTTATTTCATGGTGTTTTTTGGTTCGTTTCTGGTGATATCACTGAGAGGAACAGATCTGATCATTTCATCTCTCAGTAGGTCATGAATGATGCAAGGCTACACACATAAAGAGAAAGTGTCTCTTCTCTTTCTTGAGAACCCATCCTAATCCCAATCATTAGAGTCAACATTGACAAACCACAAAGTCATGCATTGGCTCTGGATGGACTGAATTTCAACAAATTTCAAGGAGTTTAGTTATAATTGCATCTCTGGAAAAGTCTTGATCATATAGATTCTTTTCAAAATATTAAGAGATAATAAGACTTATTATTACCTGCTAACAGCACTTTTGCTTTCGATAGCAATCAGCATGAGATTCATCTTCACAAAGCAGATTCTGGAAAGGAAGACAAATAGTTGTAAAGAAGAAAAAAAGAGTAGGTGGCTCCGTCACAAGAACTAGACTAACATTTTGTCCTCTGTGTCTGGGAGAAAAGTGGTACCTTTGCAAAGGGCCTCTGTGAGAATGGAATTAACCTTTAGACAAATCCATCTTGAGGTAATGAAAACCCAAGGACCAGATAAAAGAGAAAGGAAATTATCTTCAAGAAAGGACCTTCACATACTTATTCTTAAGTCTTCTTTGTTTGTCATGGAATCTAGCCCAGAGAGAGAAATCAGTGAACCTCCTTGGAAAAAACTGTTGCACAAATAAAGAGGGAGATGATCACCCTTACAACTTACCGTGAAACTTGAGCGAAAGTCATTCCTGCAAAGTCATCAGAGAGTCGCTGAGTCAGAATTTTGTTCCTCAAGCCATTTAAGAATTGTTTTTGCCAGGTATGTTTAGGATTCACCTAGAACACACAACATGTCACCTCATAGACAGTGCACATGATTATGATGAAATTAATACCCTTACTTATGAAAGAAATTAGCCTAAATTATGACCTAAATATTTGCTTTTATGAAAAAAGTGTAAAAAGAAATGATTGCCATAGATATAGTGACACTTTCTGAGACAATTATTAAAATATAGGGGGTGGAGAAAGAGAAACAAATGAACTGTGGAAAGAACCTGGGAAATCAGTCATGCTACTTGGGTTGGACCTAATCTAAATTTAAGGTTATAATCTATGCCTAGATATAACCAGAAATTATTTTATGTAAAATTTATAGAATGAGAATTATTATTTTAGTCTAAAGTGGTTTAATTTGAGTGCTCTTAAGTATTACAAATATTAACTCAATACCAGGCTAAGCTAAGGTCATGAGATTGATTACTTCTGCTTTATACATATAAAAACCAAGTATCAGAGAAAATAAAGTATTGAATCTGGTGGCCTACAGGTAAGGAAATGTGCTGGCTATCTAAAGGCAGGTAGTTCAAATTCACCGGCTGTTTTATGGGATGAGCAATCGCTTCTTACATGATTTATAGCTTCTGGAAACCCACTAGAGAGTAAGCTATAAATTAATACACAACACCAGCAACAGGAATCTGAAAATAACAGGACATAAAATTCTTTAATACTTACCATTTAATTTAAGCTTATTACAGAATTTGGAGTACCAAGGGCCCCTGTGTGGTGCAGATATTTAAGTACTCTGGCTATTAGATGAAAGATTGCATGCTTCTGTACTTACTTTTACTAATCACAGAATTTGATGTTCATTGCAAATTGATTGACAGATTTGGCTTTACTCACAGTTGTGTGGATTATTAGAGAAATAGGCTGGAGGTGGGGGTGTGGGTATGCAAAGGGTATACTATCCGGTGAAAGTCTGGTTAACCGCAGTATCAAGCCAGGTTAACAGCAAGACACAATTCCTCAACTAGTTCAGACAACTTCTCAGTCAAAAAGTAAAAATCCAAGTTTAGCACAACAACACAAATGTAAGAATCCTCTGGCTTCCTCAATCATCCAGCAAGCATTGTTTCATAGCAGTCACAAGTCAGCTCTTCCTTCAACTGTCCAGCAAACAAAACCTTTAACCATGGCTTTGTGTTCAGGGCTTCTTCTGGCTACATCTCACCAGTCTCTCCTCAGTCTCTAACAATCTTTCTCTTATATTGGCCTTTTGCTCTTGATGATTTTGATGATGCTTATCACTTGCAAACTACATATCTACAATTGAGGCAGCTGGATATTATGACCCCAGTGGGGCTAAGGCATTGAGTAGAAAAGCCATTTTTCAATGTTCTAACAAGACACCGTTTTCTAGCCATTATCCTTCATATATTAAAGATCTAACTACCCCTTACAATAATTTACATTCATGGAAGCATTGAAGCCAGATATTTCACTCCTTATGCCTCATTCTCCCCATTTTAAATAGCCAATTTCTGATCTGCTCATTCTGAACAAACCAGTTTGAAGCATTGAACACTAGTGATTGAAAACCAGAGGAATTGTGTGAGGACATCAAAGATATCATCCAGAAGAGAGCAAAAGTTAATTACAAAGATGGAGGAGAAAGAAAAAAACAGATTGGATCCATCTAACATCAGCTACAATATCCCTAGTACCATGATCCCTTCTAAACCCAGCCTGAACTTCTGGCAGTTCTCTGATGATGTGCTGCTCCAGTCATTTTTGGATAACCTTCAGCAGAATCTTGCTTGCATGTGAAATCAACGATATTGTTCTGTAGTTTCCACACTCTGTTGGGCCACGTTTCTTTGGGATGGGAACAAATATAGATCTCTTCCAGTCAGTTGGCCAAGTGCTTGTTCTCCAGATTTCTTGGCACAACTTGGTGAGCACATCAAGTGTAGCACCTGTTAGCTGAAATATGTCAATTGGTATACCATCTATTACTGGGACCTTATTTTTTGCCATTTCCTTCAAAGCAGCCTGAACTTCTTCCTTCATCACCATAGCCCTTTACTCATATGTTGTTTCATGAAATTCTTCTGTGTCTGCCAATTCCTTTCGATACAGTGACTAAGTATAGTCTTTCCATCTTCTTTTAATACTTCCTGGATCATTTAATATTCTGCCTAAAGCATTCTTGATTATAGCAACTCGAGGTTTGAATTTGTTCTTCAGTTC